ACCTTTTTTTTTGTTGCTTTTTTTATAAAGAAAACAAGGGATGAGTCGAAATTAATTGAGCTTAACTCATATCGAACTAGCAATAAGTCTCTTAAACTGATAATCTGGCCTCTAGTTATGGCTTGGGTCCCTCCTTAAAAGAGTTTGATGGTTTTTATTGTCCACAGGTGAAAATCATTAGTTTTCAAAAGTAATAGCACCCCTCAATAAGCCGCACAGTTTCAGGTATCATGCCCAAAGCACAAACAACACAAGCTATTCTAATGTCCTGTACATAAGTGTTGTACATCAGCTCTCGTTCTCTCTCTCCTCCGCTCAAGTGCCACAGGCTTATAATGTTCCTGTCAACAGCAATCCAGGAAACCAAATGCAAAAACAAACCCCACAACAACACCTGGTTTACCAGCACCCCCCTTCTGCATTCAGACGCTCCGTCCAGACTGGAAACACAGCGGAGGGCTTCGAGAGAAGAGAAAAACACTTCATTTCTCCAGAGACGCTTTTCTCGGGCTGTTTTTTTCCTCTTTCTGCGGGTGAGGGTGAGCATTGATATCCTCCACTGAGTGCCGTATCAGTCGAGCCGCCACTTTGTTCTGCCTAATTATGGCGTTAGCAGGAAATAACAGCACAAATTGCTGCTAATAATTAAATGACAAGTCTGATCAGAATCTGCTGATGTGTTAGTAATGCTGCTAGAATGTGACAATAGTTTCCATGCCTCAAATGTATTACTAAAAACTAATGTGATGAACAGATGTATGGCCACACATTTAAAACGGTTTCTTTATTAAGTTTAGATTAAAAAATCGAATCAAATCAATCATTTAAATACAAATTAAATAACATTATATATATACAGTATATAATAAAAAGGTCACACTTTATTTTAAGGTCCAATTCTCAATATTAACAAAGCATTAACTACGACTATTAATAGTTAATAGTAAGTAATGTAATTGTTAAGTTTAGGTATTGGGTAGGATTAGGAATGTATATGGTCATGCAGAATATGTGCTTTATAAGTACTAATATACAGCAACTAATATATATAGGCATGCTAATATGCAACTAGTCCCTATACTAAAGTGTTACCAATAAAAATTGTTATTTCATTTCATTACATCATGAATTCATTATAAATACACACTTGTATAATTACTGACTATAATAAGGACAACTGTAATTAGAATTCATTCTAGATTAATATTACAACCAATACTAATTACCTAATTACGTTCATTTTTACCTCATTAAAAAGTCACAAATCCAGTCATTTGCTGTGAAAGATCACAAATTTGATAATTGTGGCCCATTTACAAGTTAATATTTTCAGGTGTTATATTACAATTAATACTGTACCTCCATGGAAGGGTGGTACATCTATGTTAAAGTATTATGTAAAGGTTTTTAGATGATTTACGGGAGTTGTTTTTACACATTTAAGCAGCTTGACTTCATCACTTTACTGTGTGTTGTCTGTTCTTACTGGAATACACGCAAGTAGCTGAAGAAATGCTAGTGGAAAGGAGTGATTGTTCGCTATAAACATTCAGAATAAGTTCAGCTCCTCAAGTTTCACAATATGTTGATACTGCTGTCAGGGAAAATAGACGGAGGCATCCTGACATACATGTGGATGTCAGTTCTTTTAGCGTTGCATGGAATTACAGCAGAAAGACCCGAGGGGTTTGGAACACATCCGGATGGAGTCCAAAATAAACACTTTAGTTCATTTAACATGTTTAAAAGGGTAAATGATACCAGTAATTACCATCTGGAAGGAATACATATTTAAAAGTTGCACTATTTATTTTTAAATGTAGTCTATCATGCAACAAGGCTGCTTTTATTTGATCAAAAATACAGTAAAACCTGTAATACTGTGAAATATAATTACTATTATAAAACGAATAGTTCCGGTCCTTGATTCTGATTGGTTGAGCCGCGTTCGAAGCTGTTGTAAATTACTCTAAACGCAAACACCTTTGTTTACTTTGTGTGTTACTTGGCAGCCACTTTGTTGGAACCACAACTGTTTCTGATGAACTACATTGTTTGGTGGAAGAATACTGTTTTTATTAAAGGGATAGTTCACCCAAAAATGAAAATTCTGTCATTAATTACTCGCCCTCATGTCGTACCAAACCCGTAAGACCTTCATTAATCTTTGGAACACAAATTTAAGATATTTTTGACGAAATTTGAGAGCGTCACTTGTGGACGCGCGTTCACAGCAGTACTATGACGCAAGTGTGTGGCGGCACCGGCCCAGTAGCGCCATACGTATGTGTTCAACGTCATCACGCCGGATCTGGGTCAGCGCCGGCGCCGCCACACGCTCGCGTCATGGTACTACCGTGAACGCGCGTCTACAAATTACGCAGTAGAGACGAAAATGTGGAATAAAGTCGTTAATTTTGTTTTCTTTGCGCAAAAAAAGTATTCTTGTAACGTCGTAACATTACAGTTGAACCACTGCTGTCACACGGACTACTTTGTCGATCATCTTGGTACTTTCCTGTGTCTTGATCGTGTAAGGACCCTTTTCAACGTCATCACGCCGGATCTGGGTCAGCGCCGGCGCTGCCACACGCTCGCGTCATGGTACTGCCGTGAACGCGTGTCTACAAGTTACGCAGTAGAGACGAAAATGTGGAATAAAGTCGTTAATTTTGTTTTCTTTGCGCACAAAAAGTATTCTTGTAACGTCGTAACATTACAGTTGAACTACTGCTGTCACACGGACTACTTTGTCGATCATCTTGGTACTTTCCTGTGTCTTGATCGTGTAAGGACCCTTGTTGTCTATGGGAGGGTCTGAAAGCTCTCAGATTTCATCAAAAATATCTTCAATTGTGTTCCGAAGATGAACGAAGGTCTTACGGGTTTGGAACGACATGAGAGTGAGTAATTAATGACAGAATTTTCATTTTTGGGTGAACTATCCCTTTAATATCATTACACTTTATTTGCTCTGTTTTATTTTGTGAAACCTAACTACGTATATGGAATAACCGATTTCGCGTCATGCCTAACAACGCCCCTTAGCTGTTAAAAATTCACTGTAAAACATGGCTTCTTGGGGCTTATTGCTTTATTTTCAGCATCATTACTCCAGTCTTCAGTGCCATGATCCTTCAGAAATCACTCTACTATTTAATTTTTTTAAACTAATACTTTTGTTCAGCAATTGAAGACATTCATAATGTAACAAATAATTTCTTTTTTTTTTTTTTACTTTCTAAAACTTAAAATCAAATCCTGAAAAATGTATCATGGTTTCCAGAAGAATAACAAGTAGCACAACATAGATAACAATAAGAAATTATTTCTGAAGGATCATGTGACACTGAAGACTGGAGAAATGGCTAGTGAAAATTCAGCTTTGCATCACATGAATAAATTGCATTTTAAAATATATATAAAATGAAAATGGTTATTTTAAATTGTAATAATATTTCACAATATTAGTGTTTTTATTGTATTTTTAATCAAATAAATGCAGCTTTACCCTGTTGGACCAGCTCAGGACCAGCTTAAGACCAACTAAGGACCAGCTTAAACCAGCTCAAACCAGCTTCCATGCTTCAAAACATACCTAATCGGCATATGCTGTTTTTTTCAACAGGGTAGTGAGCATAAGACTTTCAAAAAAAAAATAATAATAATAATTAATGATTCCAAACTTATGAGCAGTCGTAGTGTATAGTCTTCATGAAATATGATTGTTAAAAATGTGACAGTAAATCCACCTCTGCTAAAGTCCAACTTAAATTAAATAAACTTAAAAATTAAATAAATAACCTGTATAACAAAAAGAAATAAAAACAAGTCCTTTGCAAAAAAAAAAAATTTTTTCCCATGTTACGTAAGAATGGTTTTTACGAACGATTCACACAGAAATTCATGTTCACATTTCATGAATGAGGCCCGTAATATCCCTATTAACTCGCATTGCTCTCAAATCGCATCAAAGTCAGACGTTTGTTGGCATTGGGGACGGCGAGATGAGCAGAGGGACTGAGAGAAATGTGGACGCATATTTTAAAGAGCTCCTTTTTTTTTTTCCCATGTTACGTAAGAATGGTTTTTACGAACGATTCACACAGAAATTCATGTTCACATTTCATGAATGAGGCCCGTAATATCCCTATTAACTCGCATTGCTCTCAAATCGCATCAAAGTCAGACGTTTGTTGGCATTGGGGACGGCGAGATGAGCAGAGGGACTGAGAGAAATGTGGACGCATATTTTAAAGAGCTCCTTCCCCCCCGGAGCGGCTGGCAGAAATAACAACAGAGTCATCTAAAATCAATCAGCGGGGCCGGCTAACGGACTGCTCCGGCTACTCCGCGCTGCGCAGATCGATGCACGCGCTGGCTATTGTGAGAGCTAAATTGCCACTACCATCAGCAATTTAGAGAACTGAAGCTAAAAGGCAAGAAGAGGAGAGAAGTGCGGACACGACGTTAACGTATCCGAGCACGACGTTAAACGACACATGCTGTTTAGTCGCAAACAAACACGCAGGTGATGCCCAGTGGTTTGGGATTTGGTCTAAAAGCGATAAAACAATTCCTCTGAAACAGATTGAATTCCAAAGGAAGGAAAGATGAAAGAGGGATGATGAGAGAGAAAGAGAGAAAGCAAATGCGCGCACAGGAAAAAAGCAAAGAGGCAACAGAAATCCAATAGTTTAACCTCTGTTTGAGCCGCAGTGGTGGCCAGTGAAGGACAGAGGGGGGAAAATCAATACGAGCTGATTTGCAGAAGGTGGAAGAGTGGGAGGAGGAGAGAAAAGGAGAGCGAGAGAGATGGGAAAAAAGACAGACAGCACGGATCAAAAAATACAGATTCCACAGAAGAAAGAAAAATCAAGCATAAAGGAGACAAAATGTTCATATATGTGGTTTTACACACTGGCGTCCGTCGTTCATTGATGGTTAAGGTTGGTATTTTTAGATCTTGCAGGTGGGTGAGCGAGAGAGAGGGGTCTTACCTGTCGGGGAGAGCAGACTGGGAGAGAGCAGCCCGTGAACGCTGTGAGGAAGCAGACGAGAGCTGTCCTGCATCACCATGCCGAGAGAACGCTTGGGAGGACGACCGGGCCGAGAACTGCACAGAAACAAAAACACAACAGGGGTTTCATATGACATCAGATACATTTGCATCTACATTTTTGCTTGATCGTGTACAGTAGGTCACAGGGACACATGATTGAGAGATGTATTTTGATTGGTGAACACCAAATATAGGCTACTTATGGGTGACACTCATTCATTAAAAAACAAACAAATTAAACAGCAATTCTTGAATACACATGATGACATGCTTGTGATACATTGCCCACAATACACAGCATTTTTTATCTTTTTTAATTATTTAATTTTTGATAAAGTCTTGTTAGAAGAAAGAAATTCTTGACAAGAAAAATAGTTAAATGGTATAATTATGAAAAATGCGTATACAATTTTTTTTACAATAAATTTTTCATTTTTTTATTAGTAGTAATATATATATATATATTTAATTTGTGGTACAACCAACATAAAAAAAAAATATTTTTTTTATGAGAAGGAAAGGTTAGTTCTGGTTGTACACTGCCATGTTGTGTGACTCCCTAAAAACTTAATAACATTTATTATTAATAGAAATTCATGATATTTGTATGAAAAAAACTTTTACCCTAAAAACCGTAATAAAAACCCTTTTACCCTAAAAATGTTATTACTTTTCATTTAATTCGTTTCTAGAGACACCTTCAATTTCAGAGTCATTCAATTTAATCTTTTCTTGAGATTTAGTATTTTTTTAGGGCTGTAAGTCAATTAAAATGTTTAATCTAATTAATTGCATGGTGCATCGATTAATTAATCCAATTAATTGCAAACTAAACTTGGCTGTGAAAATACCCACAAAAGATTATTAAAGTGCCCCTATTATGGGTTATGAAAGGTTCATATTTTGGTTTTGGGAGTCTCCAACAACAGGTTGACATGCATGCAAGGTCAAAAAACACTTTCAATATCTTATAATATGGAATTTATTTTTCCAAACCCCTCCTTTGCGTGACGCTAATCTGCAGTGATTGGTCTAATTGGCGATTTTATTTACATTTCATAATAAAAGCAGCGTTTGTAAGCACAGTGCTGCTTTGCGTACAGCGTTACTGGGGAAACTGCTATTTTTACCGCTCCAAAAGCGGCACCTAGTGGCAAAGAATGAATTTGTATTTTCATTCAGACCAAAGCGAAAAGACCAACTAGTGGGCGAGAAATATGCTAATGTTTCATGTTGACGTCAACATGAAATGGCTTGGGATTCGTTTTAAAAACGACTTGTTTCAATGATTCAGAGTCGACTTTCTTTTGAGAGACAATAACTTTATACACGGTGCACTTTCAGATTTAAAACTTTGCAGGATGTTTTTTTTATTCACTTAGAGCTGTGTTACACACTGCATGAAAGGTAATTTTCAAAAATCCATAATAGGGGCACTTTAAAGCTATTATTGTGTTAAATGAGAAAGTATCAAGTACACATTACAAATAGTAGCTTTAGAAATAAATATTTAGTTTGATTCAACATAAAATGTATTACACATAAACGTTTAGACTACAACGGCCTAACATAAACTATGGAACATAAAAGAAGATAATTAGAGAAACATCTCAGTAATTTTTTCCCTGGTAATCAAAACAGCTTTGTCTTCAAAATACCTTCTTTTATGTTGCGCAAAGGGAAGCAAGTCATTCATGTTTGAAACGAAACAAGGGTGAGTAAATGATGACAGAATTTTTTATATTTATTTTGGTGAACTATCCCTTTAATGTTTATGTGTTTATTTATTTATTTTTTAATAAATGAAATGAAACTAAAACTGCCAGCAGGTGGCAGTAAATGTCTTTGAGTCATTCATTCATTCGATTCGTTCAAACGGCTGATTCATTCTGGAATTAAGTAAACGGCTCTTTCTAGGAATGGGCTTTTGAATCATTGGTTCACATGATTCGTTCAAAACGAGGATTCATTCAGAAACTAAACACCGCTGTGTTACTCACAGATGCACAATAGTTCTGCAGTGGCTTTATAGGTAATAATTTCATTAACAAAATTGAGCAAAAACACAATATTGTTTTAAAATATAGCACAATATTAACTTCTTATTTACTGAACAGTTGTATAAAATCCCATTTGCACTCGCGCTATTTGGACATAAAGAGCACTCCTGTGATATAGCCGTCACTGCTCATGTGATATCGTATGATATAAATATAAGAAAAAAACTAATACAGGTGCATTTTTTGCCCCAATATCTTGAATTTTAGGGCATAACTGCATTTATGAAGTTGTTGCCCTGCATCATATTTGTCAACAGTCAACTTATGAAATGTAAGATGATGTACAGGTCTAGGGGCGGGGCCAGTGCGTTAACTGTTAAGATATTTTAATTGCGTTATTTTTTCAAAATTAAGTTAACGCGTTAAACTGACAGCTCTGGGGGGTTTTTTGTAACTATGAAGCCTACATGAATACAAAGGCTACATTTCTGAGAAACAGGCTTTTTTCGTCTTTATCATCAGTGTTACAGTAAATGCTGCAAATGTGATTTTCTGGAAAGTTCAGTCTCTTCTGACAGACCAATGAAAAGGAAAATTGTTTCAGAGCATAAGCAAGTTACTATTTTACACACACATCAAACAAACATACATACGGTTACACATCATCCCGTCATGATAGATATGTGAACAAGTGCGGCTTTAGAATCCCGTTCCGCAAACGTACAACATGCTAGACAAATTATTCAATACAAAACACAAACACGCACTTCATTGTGAGACGGGCTATCAAAGAGACAGGTACATGACAGTTCGAACCCTGCGCAAGGGTTCTGGCAGAGCAAAATAAGCCAGAAAAGCAAAATGCTAATTCAACTGCTGCATATCATTGGATCATGTCCAAGTACATCAAGCAGCAAGTGTTTTTCACCATTCTATTAATACTGCAGCGCTTACACACAAACCAACGCAGAATCACCGCTATCATGATCATAGTAAAGCCAAGAGGAAGAATGCCACAGCAAGCCACTTGTTCTTAATAACATTACAGTGGAGTTTCAGAGAGTAGTAGTATTACATAGAAATTTCACAAGTCATTCATGGCAGCATGTGTGCATATATAGCCGATGTAGAAAACTGAAGTCAACACATAACAGCATTTGTAACCAGTTTTACATCCATTATGTGATGTATTTTTAAGCCTAACCTGAATGCAAGTTTGCTACTGATTTTAGAGAACAAATGAAATATCACCAGCACCAACTTACATTAATGTTACATTAATGTTAGCATGACACATAAAATTGGTTACTTTTGATGTAATTTGTTCATAACATTAAAAAAAGAAGTTTTATTCATTGCAAATTTGTGGAAATGTTTATTTTATTTTATATCACACCAACAACACTATCCAGCATTATAACATATTTGAGGTTTTCAAAGTTGGGAAAAATAGTGTTACTCTGGGGGAGTTGCTTGGGGGAGTGCTATGGAAGACCGTTTCTGTCACAGAAGAATAAAAAATAAATAAAATAAAAAATACTTGCGAGATTTTTTCACAATTTTTTTTAACCATGAAATAAAAACGGTTAAAAAAAGGTCAGAATTTTTACAATTCTTACTTCTCTTTTCAGAATTGCAAGGAAAAAAAGTAATTTTATATCATGCAATTCTATCTCGCAATTCTGAATTTTGAGTTCATTTCTAACAATTCTGGAAAAAAGGAAAGGTGGAAAAAGTCTGAATTATGAGATAAAAAGTCCCAATTACCTTTTACGTTTTTTTTGTGTGGTGAAAGCAGGCTTCCATACTATTCAGATAAATTCAAATTTTTAACGCGTTAAACTGACAGCTCTGGGGGGTTTTTTGTAACTATGAAGCCTACATGAATACAAAGGCTACATTTCTGAGAAACAGGCTTTTTTTGTCTTTATCATCAGTGTTACAGTAAATGCTGCAAATGTGATTTTCTGGAAAGTTCAGTCTCTGTGTGGTGAAAGCAGGCTTCCATACTATTCAGATAAATTCAAATTAATAATAATTATTTATTGAAATTTAATAGTAAAAGTAATTTTCCACTTATTTTAATAATCTTTAATGCAATGATAACACGAATGCTAATAGTTGATTTTTAAAAAAATACTTCGAAATGTTTTCATTATATCACATTATTATTTACTTCATTTTTATATATATATATTTTTAAATAATAAAACTCATTTATATATATTTGAGTTACTTGGTATTAAATTTCAGCCCCTGGCCTAAACTGCACTTCCATCACTCTCAGGTCCATCTTCATTCTCGAAGATCTTAGTAGTGCACTTTTTTAAAGTATTTTTAAGTACTTACATTTCAGACCTGAAGCAATACTGCATTCAAACAATGCCAATAAACAGAAAATCTACTAGAAGCCAAATGGATCAATGGTAAACTTCAAACGACCCTTCAGCATCCAGTTTCGTCCATAAGGCACCGTACTGTCCTTCCTCCCTTTCCTGCCCCAAGATATCCCAGTTTGACTTGCTGATCTGTTGACAAGCTTGTCATGATCTGTGGCAAATGGGAATCACTTTGGACCGTCACATTACTAATCCAATTAAAAACTATGAACAGTGGAGCGTGGTGGAAAAGCGAGGCAATCAACATGAATCACTTTAGCCGTTGTAGTGCCTGTAAGTGGAGAGCAGTCGATGGAGTTAACTGTACTGTAAAAAAAAAACGTCAGCACAGTTTTCCAGACCACAATCCCTCTCTAGTGTTGATAAAATTAATGGAGTCTTTGATTCTGGGAGAGTTCGACAAACTACTTTTAGTCTCGTTTTGTTTCTCTGAGAAAATGTTTGATTTAATTGACAGAGAAAGTGGAGGGGGCTCAAGACAAGACACATGGTGGATTCGAACCGGTGTCTCCCACATGAACACCATGTAGTGCTAACCGCTAGGCCACAGGTGAGAAAGAAACTTATTATAACTTAACTGTTACTAAAACAAAATCCACAAAGACATTTGTGTGCAAAGGCCTGAGTCTGTTTCAAAGTTGGTTTTTACATC